GAAGGGAGATGCTGCGGAGGTTTCCGACGGCCATCGGGGGAAAAAAAAAAAAAAAAAGAAAAAAAAAAAGAAGAGGAGAGAAACGACACCGAGAGACGAGGAAGGGAAGGGAGCTAAAGCGAATAAAACAAAAGAAAACCAAAGGGGCGAAATTTGCCCCACGGAGGGTGGAAATCGGGAGCCGCCAACAATTAAAGCCCGGAACCTGCGTTCATTAGCATGCAGGAGCCGGGACCCAGCTTTTATGTTTATCTTTCTCGGCGGATCAATATTGTAGCAGCATGTGCCGGCAGCGAGCAGAAATCTGGCCACCGCATGTGGCTGACCTTTCCCTCTCTCCCTACAGGTCAGCTCGTCTCCATCAAACCGGGGCAGCTCGTCCCCACGCCTCGCAGCACCCAGTGCCGCCGCAGCCACGGCGCTCATTAAAACCGCTGCTTAATCTAGGGGCTGGCACCGGGAATCAAAGGAGAAGGGGCTGTTTGCCCACACGGAGGAATTAGTGCTCCAGCAAAGGAAAAAAAAAAAAAAAAAAAAAAAGAAGAAAAAAGGAAAAAAAAAAGTTGGAATGAAAATTGCTCTTTTTCTCTTTTCTTGGGGGCTTGGGGCGGGGGAGGGGGCGGGGGGGGGTGGGGGGGGGGAGGGAGGGGTTTTTGTTTTTTCTTGTGGCTTTTTCTTCTTTTTTCTTCTCCTTTCCTTTCCTTTTCTTTTCCGGTCCCTGGCCGGTGACTTTGGTTCTTCGTCTTCTTCTCTCGTCTTCTTCTTCTTCTTCTTCGTTTTCGTCTTCTTCTTCTTCTTCTGGCTTCTCTTCTCTTTTCTCTTCTTCCTTTTCCTTTTCTCTTCTTTTCCTTCTTTTCTTTCCTTGCTCGGTCCGCTGCCTCTTTTCTTTTCCTTTTTCCTTTTCCTTGCTTTTCCTTTTCCTTTTCCTTTTCCTTTTCCTTTTCCTTTCCTTTTCCTTTTCCTTTTCCTTTTCCTTTCCCTTTCCCTTTCCCTTTCCCTTTCCCTTTCCCTTTCCCTTTCCCTTTCCCTTTCCCTTTCCCTTTCCCTTTCCTTTTCCTTTTCCTTTTCCTTTTCCTTTTCCTTTTCCTTTTCCTTTTCCTTTTCCTTTTCCTTTCTCTCCTTCTTTTTCTTTTCCTTTTTTCCCCTTTTCCTTTTTTTCCTATTTCCCTGCCTCATGCCGACACCCGCCCCAAACCCTCGCACGCCCAGACCCCATCTCCCGCAGGGGCTCCACCGTCGGGACAGCTCCGTCCCACCCGGGACCCTCGGGGTTCCCCTTTCGCCTCCCGGGACCCTCTTTCCCCCCTCCCCACATCGGTCCCGCAGCCGATTAGTTGCCTTTTAACCCAAAAACTCATCCTGCCCCTCCGGCGCGCCGCGGCTGGCTGCCTCCCGTGGGAGCCCCCGAGATTTCCCCCCGAGGGCGTTCCTAAAAATCGAGTGGGGCCGTGGCCCGGGGAAGGGGAGAGGGACGCGGGGAACCTGCTCTTGTTTACTGCCCCGCGAGGAAATCGGATCGCCGGGACGTTTTGTGCCGCGCTTCCTCTCTCTCTCCTCGGGACAACGGCGCAGCAGCGACTTTGAAGTATTATTAAATAAAGACGTGAAACCCCTGGCTAAGGTTTTCTCCCCCCACACACACCCCTCCCGTTCTCCTTCTTTCTTTTTTTTTTTTTTTTTTTTTTTTTCCCCTCCTGGCCCCCTCCCGGTGTTAAACCCCGCAGCCCGAGCGGGGCCAAGAAGAAGGGGGGAAGCCCCGAGCCCTAGGGAGGAATTGCAGCTCCGGAGGGAGGGGGCACCGCGCCCCGCAGGGTGGGACAATGGCTTTTGCCTGCTCTGCTGGTAAAGTGAGGCTCCTTCCCCGGCCGTCTGGCTCGTGGAGAAAAAAAAATAAAAAAGGGGGGGGGAAAAAAAAAGAAAGAAAGAAAAGAAAAAAGCGACCCACGAGATTAAAACCCTACCAAAGAAACCCCAAACCAACCGTGCCCGGAGATGAGAAATCTACGTACCTCGCAGTGCCTGCGTGCACGTGTGGCCGGGGAGAGGTTTGGGTTAGCTTGTTATGTCTTCATATAGGGCAGGAAACGTGTACGACTTTCTGAAAACAAAGGGGAAACTTAAAAGGCTGACAGGGGTTTGGGGAGGTCGGTGCGGAGCGGGGCAGGGACGGGGACGGGGACGGGGACGGGGACGGGGACAGAAGGGACAGGGACAGGGACACAAGGGACAGGGAAAGGGACAGGGACAGGGAAAGGGACCGGGATAAGGACAGGGATAGGGACAGGGACAGGAATAGGGGCTGCCTCAGGGCTCGGCTGCTGCTCGGCGCTGGGCTCCGGGCGGGAGCAGCCGGGATTTCTTTGAATTCACTTTTATTTTATTGCATTTCGGCTCGGGCCGTGCTGCTGCGGGCTGGTCCGGCGCTGGGTTTCGCTCTTTATGCCGCCCAGACAAAGGCAGCAGGGCAGCGGGAGCAGGTGAAGGGGGAGGCTCGGTGGGGAAGGGGGCGGCGGGGCAGGTACGGGCGGCGAGCCCCGGGGCAGAGCCTGGCAGACCGAGCCTGGCTTCTTTTATTTTAATTAATTTATTTTATATTATTTTGGGGGAGTGTGGGAGGTTTGGGACAACGATTCCCTGGAAAAATCGCTGAGGCTCTTCGGGGGGTCTCCGGGCAGAGCGAGGAGCGAATTTTACGATTCGTAATAACGCCACTAATAAAGATCGGGATGGAAAGCTCGGATCCATCCCGATGGGCGCCGAGAAGCTCCGTGTGGTTTTTTTTTTTTAGGGTGGGGGGGTCCCCGCTGGCAGGGTGGGGACGGGCCCCCCGCTGCCGGCCGTCGGGGCAGCGCCGTCGGGGCGAGCGCTCCGCCGCCCGCTGCGGCTCTGCGGGGGATTTTTTGGGGCGTGGGGGGCCGCAGAGGGAACCCCAACCCCCCGGCCTCCCTCCAGGTTTGTCCCCGCGTTGCCTTCGGGGCCGGGGCGGAGAGGTTTGGAGAGCTCGGTGCGAGAGACAAAGGGAAACGGGGAGAGGGGGAGGAAAGCGGGGTGGGGTGGAGGGGAACGGGGAAAAAAAGGGGGGCAGGAGGGGAGCAGGAGCAGGGACTGCGGGGCCGCCCTGAGGTCCCTGAGGCCGGGCCACCCGCGCACAGGGCTGCGAGGCGGGTCGGGGCCGCCCCCCCCAGCCCCCAGCCCCGGCACCCGATGAATTACGGCTCGCCCGTAAGCGTGGCAGGGCCGGGCCCGGGGTCAGCGCCCGGGGGAGGCGGGCTGGAGGCGCCGAGGCCAAGTTCAAGTTCAGGGCCAGCCCGGACGAGGACGAGGAGGGAGGGGGGGGGGCCGGGGAGGAAGGGGGGGCTGCTGACGGCCACGGCGAGCCGCGGCCCCTGTGGTTTGGCTGGGGGGTGGGGGGCCGCCTGCTCGGTGTCCCCCACTGCTATCATCCGGGGGTGACCCCCGAGGCTCCCCAAAACGCCCAGCCCCGGCTCGGGGAGGCAGCAGGGGCAGCCCGGCTGGGCGCAGCGCTCCGAGGAGTTTGGCTCCGGGAAGGCCGCGGGGACAGGGGCAGAGCCCGACGGGGCGAGGGCCGGGCAGGTGCCCCCCGGGCCGGGCTCGGGAGGGGATTTTGGGCAGCCCCCGGCCCTGCAGAGGGACCCCCGCCCGATTTTTCGGCCGAGGTGACGCGGCGGGGCCGGCGGCAGGACAAAGAGGGATGCTGGCAGCCGCCTTTCCCACGCAGCTCTCCAAGGGGCAGGCGGCGTATGCCGGGGATTTTAATTTTTTTATTATTATTATCATGATTTTGTTGTTGTTGTTGTTGTTGCTTAATATTATTACGGCCCGTAAATTAGATTTTAACAGCCCTTTGGTTCCTCGCGTTTGGAGCCCGCGTGATGCGCGGGGATGGCCGCGCTGGGAGGGGCGCGGCTGCAAAGGATGCTCCGGCCCCGGCCTGAACTTGGCTGGCAGCACCGGCACGGGGGGGGGCTTCCCTCCCCTTGCCTTGATTTTAGGCGTTGCCCCCCGCCCCAGAAGCGAGCAGGGACCATTGCAGCCCCCCCTGCCCACCTGCCTTCCCCCCCAGAGGCTCTGGACACCCCTCCTGCCACTTGAACGCGGGGGACAGGGGCCCAAATCCACGACCACAGCCGGGCCGGGGGGGTTTTGAGCAGGGAGGGGGCGATGCGGTCGGCTGCCCCTGAGAGCCGGGGGTCTCCTCTCTCCGCACACCCCTTCGCTGCGAGCCGTGCAGCCACCGCAGGGCGCTCGGGCTCCGGCTCACGGCGCTGCCTCTTCCCCGGGGCGCATTTCGGAGGCCGGGGCCTGTTCCACGGGGGCCCGGCTGCTGCCAGGCTCGGCCACGACGGGGGTCGGGGGGATGTATTTTTTTTGGGGGGGGCCGGCCCTGATGGTTCCTGTAAGGGAAGACGTGGGGACCCCAACCCGCACCCCTGGAAGAGCCTCGCTGCCGGCCCTCGGCCCCTCGCTGGATGCATCTGAGCTGAGGTTTAAAAAAAAAAATAGAGAAAAAAAGAAAAAAAAGGAATAAAGAAAAGAGAAAGGCTCGGAGGGAAATCCGAGCTCTCGGACGCTGTCGCTTTCTCCTCTTCGGAAAATGTGGGGAGGCGCCGAGGGGCTCGGCAGCGCCTTCGGGCGCAGCTCCCTCTCCGTCCCCTCCTCGGGAACGGTGCCCCGGCCGGGCACGCAGGGGGAAAATCCTCTTAAGGCTTCTCCAGGCAGAAAACGGAGGAAACGGGTCCCTTTCCACGCAGGGCTCTTCCCCGGAGGTCCTTCCTCGCCAGCAGTTTGGGAGGATGCGGAGGGTCCCCTTTTTCTCTCGGCAACGCCGCTTCCCCAAACGCTGCCGTGCTCCTGGCTGCGGGAAAACCTCGTGTCCCAGCCACCTTTAAAAAACATTGGGTGGTGCATCCGTCACCGCGACCCTCACACGCGTTGCAGCGGGTGTCGGAGAGCCCTTGGCGTAAAAAGAAAGCAGCCCGTGCAGTTTCAACACGTTTTTATTATATTTCTGTATGCATTACTCTCAAAACATATCACAAGAAATGATGAAACCACTTAAACCTTCAAATAAAAAAATCTGAAACAGTTTATGCTCACAATTGTACATATTTATAGTTAAGAAACATTCTTTATAAATACTGTTTCCTCTGTAGCAAGTTAATACCATAATTTAATTACAAATGGATAAATATGGTAACAGGTATTTACAGGAGGAAGGGTGTTATTACGGAAAAGCTAACGGCACGACGTTTATTTCTCCTCACAATCTTCCGAACAGGAACTAACAAATCGAACTTGCAAAAGCACTAAAACATCACATGTAAACCCAGCTAACAGAAAAATACATTCACAAGCGTTGTTGGTCGTGTGTGTGTGTGTGTGTGTGTGTGTGTGGGTAACAGAATGGAGACTTTGGCACGGTATTTCTTCCCCAGTCTATAGTCGAAACGCAGTTTACAATCAAGTTGCCTCTCAAAAAGGAACACAATATTCAAGATATCACAATTACAAAAGAAACCATTTTTTTTTTCTCTCTTCCACGTTACTTTTTTTTTTTTTTAAACGGGTGAATTAAAAAAAAAAATGAGGAGAGGGGAAGGCGGGGAGGAAGAAAAGAAAAATAAAAAGTCCGTCACTTTTTCGGGCGCGGAGGGGAGAGGGAGGGAGGAAAAAAAAAAAAAGAGAGAGAGAGAAAAAAAAGGAAAAAATCCAAAATAAAAAATAAGAAGGGGACCAATCCGCGGGTTACAAACGGGACGGGCTTCTATACACCGAGAATCCGGGAAATCTCCGCTCCCCGCTGGCCGGGGCCGGCCGCTCCGCACAGTCCGGGGCTGCTCCGGGCGGGGAGGCGCGGGGCCGGAGGGGCTGCAGTCTCTCGTCTTTTGTCCTTGCTCTGCAGGGAGAGTTTCTTTTCCGCCGCCTCGAGAAGCTTTTTGCTGGGTGGGTGCGTTTTGTGTTTGTGGTGGTGTTGGTTTTTTGTTTTTTGTTTTTGTTTTTTTTTTTCCTCTCTCTTTTTCTCCTTTCCATTCCTCTCCGTCTTTGCTTATTTTCGGCACGTACTTTTACGGATTTTTTTTTTTCCTTTTTAATTTTTTTTCCTTTTTTTTTTTTCCTTTTTTTTTTTTTTTCCTTTTTTTTCCTTTTTCTTTTTGCTGGTTTAAAGCGTTCTCAAAGAGAAAACCCCCACGAAGAAAATTCCCTCCTTCTCCTCCTCCTCCTCCTCCTCCTCCTCCTCCTCGCCCCCGGGGCTGGAGAAAGAGGGGGCCGCGGCGGGGCCGTGCTGGGAGCAGTCCGGCGGGGTCGGGGGGTGGGGGGGAAGGTTTGGGGAGGGGGGCACCTCAGACGTACCACTCGTTGAAGTTGGACGAGAGGCCGCTGTGGCCTCCGCCGCCGCTGCCTCCGCCGCCGCTGCCTCCTCCTCCGCCGCCGCCGCCCCGGTGCACGGCGGACACGGCCGCAGCCGCCGCCGCCGCCGCCGCCGCCGCCGCCGCCGCCGGGGAGAGGTTGGTGGAGCTCTGCGGCTCGGCGCTGGGGGACACCAGCCCCGGGGGCGTGGAGGACTCGTAGCCGGAGCTGGCGGCCGGCGAGGACTCGGAGCCTTGCGGGGACGACTCGTGCACCTGGGGGGCAAAGGCAACACGGCCGGGTGGAGGGGGCACGGGGAGGCCGCGGCCGCCGCCTCCCCCCGGGCGCGCCCCCCGCCGCCGGCCCGGCCCCACGCCGCCCCCAACCTCCCGCCGCCCCGACGGGGCGCCCGGAGCGGGGCGAAAGCCGCCCCCCCGCCTCCCGCCGCCGGCTGCGGGGCCGGGTACCTTCATGTGCTTGCGCAGGGAGCTGGGGTGGGTGTAGGACTTGTCGCACATCTTGCACAGGTAGGGCTTGTCCGACGTGTGGACGTGCATGTGCTTCTTCCTGTCGCTGCTGTTGGCGAAGCGCCGGTCGCAGCCCTCGAACTCGCACTGGAAGGGCTTCTCCCCTGCAAGACAGCAGCCTGTCGGGCCGAGCCGGGCCGGGCCGAGCCGGGCCGAGCCGGGCCGAGCAGGGCCGAGCCGGGCCGGGCCCCGCATCCCCCTCCCCGCGCCCCGTCCAGCTCCAGGAGCGCCCAACGGGGAGACCCCCGCCGGCATCCCCAAAATGCGCCGAGACCCCTCGTAGAGGGTAAACCCCGAAGGCCGGCTTTGAGGCCGGGCAGAGCGCTCGGAGCCGCTGGGAAAAGCAAACCCCCGTGAAATACCGCGGGGGGGTTCCTGCGGGGCCCGCAGCCGGCTGCCGGGGCAATTTGGAGGTGCGAACCGCGCGTCCCCCCCCCACACCCCCCTCCTCTCTTTCCGAGGGGGGGGGACACCCGGCTTAGCATCCAATTCCATTAGCACCTAAAGCGCTTCCCAAAGACATCCGCCCAGACACAATGGGCTCCGGCGCGGGCATCCCGAGCAGAGCCAGTTCGCGATTTTTAAACCTTGTTAAAGCCTCGTCTCGCACCTAGCACCGCGCTTAGCACCCGCGGAGACAATGGGCCCGCAGCTTTGCGCCCGCTCCGGGTAAATATTTGGAGGCCAAGTGGCGAAAATATTTGGCTCTCTCGGAGGAAATCAGTCTGGCACAAGCCGAGCCGGGAGGAGTAGTAAATGAATAATAGATGAGGCTGGGGAGGTGGGGGGGGGAACACGCCGGGATTTTGTTTTCCCTCCAGCTCCCGCGATTTTCCCCCAGGAAAGCCTCGGCGCCTCTCCCCGCCTTGCCCCCCGGTTCCTGCCCAAGTTTCCGAGCCTCAGCGCTTCTGCTCCGTAATTTCACTCTGCCATCATTTCTCTGTCCCTTAATTTCACCAGCTCTCGCTGCCCCTTTCACTTCGAGCGAGACTCGGAAAACGCTTTTTTAAAAATTTATTTTCATTTTATTTTATTATTTTATTTTTTTCCCAGGGAGGCAATTTTATTGCCTTGCTCGCACCATTTAAATGCAATGCAAAGCACGCCCAGGCACGGACCTTTGGCCGCTTCCTACGAGCTTTCGGGCTTTTCCTGCGGCCCCGCTGCCGCTTCTCTCCCCCTCTCCCCGGCCGCACAGGCTCGGGGCAGCCGAGCTGAGTTCCCGGCGAAGGCTCCGGGCACTGCCAGGGCAGCGGGATTTGGGGTTTCGGGGGCTCGCAGCCGAGCGGCAGCGCAAAATTCAGCGCCCGCTGCGTTGGGAAGGCTCCGCCGAGCCCGCTCCGCCAGCGGCCGGCCTGCGGGAGCCTTTCCCGGAGCTCGGGGGAGGAAGAAACCCCGGCGACAGCGAGACCCGAGCTGTCCCCGGAGGCTCCGGCCGGGGCCACCGGTGCCACCGGAGCCCGTCCCCGTCCCCGTCCCCCTGTCGCGCTCCGTCCCTCGCTATCTCGGCACGCCCGGGCGGGGAACGCGCGTTACCTGTGTGCGTCCTTTTGTGAATTTTGAGGTTTTCCGACCTGGCGAAAACTTTCCCGCAGCCGGGGAAGGGGCAGGGGAAGGGCTTCTCTCCCGTGTGCACTCGGATGTGATTGACCAGTTTGTATTTCGCTTTGAAGGGCTTGCCTTCGCGGGGACACTCCTCCCAGTAGCAGACGTGGTTGCTCTGCTCGGGGCCCCCAACGTGCTCCACCGAGACGTGGGTGACCAACTCGTGCATGGTGCTGAAAGTTTTATTGCAACTTTTTTTGGGGTTGTTCAGCTGCTCGGGGTCGATCCACTTGCAGATCAGCTCTTGCTTGATGCACTGCTGCCGCATGTAGCGGAAAAAGGCACCGGGGTGGTGGTGGTGGTGGGCTGCCATGTTCATGCCCATGTTCATATTCATGGGGCCGTACTGGTTGTGCAGCTGAGCCGCCGAGTAGGGGTCAGTCCTGGGGCTGGAGACCTGCCGGTACTGATCCGAGCGGGCGAACACCTCCCCGGGCAAGCCGAGCCGCATCTGCCCGTTGAGGACGTTCTGCGAGGCGTGGGGGCCGTGCTGCTCGTGGATGCCGGGGAACAGGAGGTGGCTCTGAGCGTCCGTGTGCGGGTGGTGCAGGCTGCCGGCCGCCGGCCCGAAGATGCCGTGCTGCCCGCCGGCCGCCGCCGACTCCCCGAAGCCCCGGCTGCGAAACAAGAAGTCCCGGGGGGAGTTGAAGGGAGCCCCGGAGTACGACCCGACGTGGGCGGCGTGGGGCCCCAGGGCTGCGGCGGGGTAAGCGGGAGCCTGCGACGTGAACGCCGAGCTCTGCCCGGGGGACAGGTCGTGGGCGCCGGCGTTGAGCTTGAAGGCTCCCATGTGCGCCGCCGCCGAGTCCACGAAGCCGTTCTGCGCCGCCAGGCTCAGCTCCCGCTCCTGCATCTCGGCGGCCGAGTGGTGGTGGTGGTGGTGCCGGGCGAACGAGCCCACGCCGAGGGCCGGGAACTGCGGGCCGGCGTCCAGCAGCATGGTCCGCGCCGGGCACGGCCGCGGGGAGCCGGGCGCGGGCTCCGCCGGGGCTCCGGGGAGCAGGGCGCCGGGGCCGGGGCCGCCCTCCCGGTGCGGGGCCGCTTCCCCCCGGCAGCCGCCGCGTCCCCCCCGCCTCCGCCTCCGCCTCCTCCGCCCGCACCGGCCCCGCCGCCGCCGCCGCTGCCGCCGCCGCCGCCGCCGCCGCCGGAGCCGGAGCCGGAGCCGGGCAGCGCAGAGTCCAAAGGCGAGCGGAGCCCAAAGTGTATTAAAGGAGCTGAGGCGGGGGCGGGCAGGGGAGGGGAGGGACGGCGGCGGGGACGAGGGGGGGGCCGGCCGAGCCCCGCCGCTCCCTGCAGCACGCGCGCGCGCGCACACGCGCGCACACGCCGCCTCCCCCCCCCCTCCCTCCTTCCCCTTCCCCTCTTCTCCTTCCTCCTCCTCCTCCTCCTCCTCCTCCCGCTTTATCCCCCGCCGGCCCCCCGCACGCAGCAAACTTGCAGCCGCGGGTTCCCACGGACGGGAAAGGGACCCGGGGCTGGGGGGCTGGGGGGGGGGAGAGGGGGGGGCGCCGCGAAAGGGGCGTGGGGAAGGGGAAGGGGGAGAAAAAAAAGGGGGAAAGGGGGGCCCGGGGAGGATTAAAAACAATGGGGGCGGCGGGCGGTGGGGGTGGGGACGGCGGGCAGGGGCGGGCAGGGGCCGCGGAGATGCGCGGAGCGGGGCCGCGGAGTTGCAGCCCCTCTCCGCTCGCCTCCCTCGCTCCTCTCCTCCTCTGTTTATTCCGCCGGGCGCTGCTGAGCCTGCCGCTTTTTATTTTTCTCCCCCTCCCCTCGCCCCCCTTCTCTTTTTTTTTTTTTTTTTTTTTTTTCCTCCTCCACTCCCCCCCCCCCACACACCTCCCTTTCTCCCTGCCCAGCCTCTCTCCCTCCTCCCGGACTGGCAGCTCCTCTTCCAACGCCCCTATAACAGCAGCCCGGGCTCTCTCCCAGCTCCAGCTCATTGGCCCGGGCCGCCCCGTCCATCCGGGCGTCCCCGGCCACCGGCTAATCGCCGAGCGCCGGCCCCAAGCCCTGCCCGCCCCGACGCCCGCCCCGAGCCCCTCCGCTCGCCCCCCGGGGCCGCCCGACCCCCGCCCGGCCCGGCCCGGCTCGGCCCGGCCCCGCACGGAGCTCAGCAGCTCGGCCCCGGGCCCCGCGGAGGCTGCCCCAGGCTTTTGGGGTCGCCCCCCCCCCCGCCCCATAGCGGTGGGGTGGGTGGCGAGGGGTGGGGGGAGGCGCGGGGGGGTCGGCGAGCCACACGCCCGGCAAATATCGATGTGCGTTTGGCCATGCGATCCTGCCTCGGGAGGCAAACAAACAAAGCGAGGGGCTTAAAACATAAACAGGGTTTCATGCTTTATTTTATTCCTTTTTTTTTTTTCTTTTTTTCTTTTTTTTTTTTTTTAGGTGGTGATGGAGGAACTTGCCCACCCTTCATCCCCTTCCCCCTTTTCGGCTCAAACACAGGATCGATAAAGGGACCGAGGGGGGAATGGGATAAAAGTCCCGCTGGCGGTGCAAATAAAATTTAATAATAATAATAAATAAAAAAAAAAAGAATAAAAATCAAAACAGATGAGGGAACGGGCGCCCGGCTCGTCTGCTCCTTTAAACCACTTGTGCAGGAGCCGGTCTGCGGGTGTTGTGCGTCTGAGAGCAGATGCTTTAGGACTTTTCCCTCGTCTCTTCCCTTTCTTTAAAAAGCAACAAAACCCCAAGCAAAACAAAGCACCGAAAACATTAAAAAACCGCCACCCTGCCATTGTTATTTGGAAACCGGATTCTTCCATGGCAGGGATAAAAAAGCGTAGGGCGAGCGCTCACACACACACAGAGCAAACAAGTCCACCTCCCCTCCCCCCAGTAAATACATGTCTGGCCCCTGCTTTGCTTTGGGTTGTGGTGCCTGAAAAATAACCATCGTGGGGCCGGCAATCAACAGATTAGGGTTTATAAAAAAAAAAAAAAAACGCGGCGGAGTTTTTATTTTTAAAACCTGCCTGCACTTAACCTCGCCTTTCCCTTCCCATCGTGGAGAAGACCCCAAAACTGGGGGGTTTTGTGGGCTTTGGTGGGGCTGGGTTACGAAGCGGGCTGAATTTTCGCTGTGATGTTGTCCTGGCGGCGTTAAATCCTGCTTCAGGCACGGGCTCGCTCAGCAGTGGAACCGTGTCCGGGCAAGATTTTTGCTGCGAGAGGTAGATGGATGATGGATGGATGGATGGATGGATGGATGGATGGATGGATGGATGGATGGATGGATGGATGGATGGATGGATGGATGGATGGATAGGTGGATGGATAGATGGATAGGTGGATGGATGGATGGATGGATGGATGGATGGATGGATGGATAGATAGATAGATAGACAGATAGATAGATAGATAGATAGATAGATAGATAGATAGATAGATAGATAGATAGATAAAAAGGATGGAAATAAAGAAGGAAAATGCCACAGCCCAGGGTGCGTTAACTAGGGTTTCCCCCCACCGCTGCCACTAAACAGTTAACCCGCTTCAAAGCCTGTCCGAAAGTGGCTGAAATGCGCCAGTACCGCCCGTGCACTCCCCGAAGCGGGCAGGGTTTGGGGTGGGAGCAGCTCCCGTCCTTCTGACCCGCGAGGAGCAGCAGCAGCAGCCGAGCTGGATGGCAGCGCAGAGCTGCACCTCCGTGCCAGCAGCCCCGTGCGGGCGGTGCGCTCCCCGGATCGCCCCTGCCCTGCCCTGCCCGGGCTGCAGCTTCGGAGCACACGGAGCTCCCCATTTGGCTGTCCTCGTCCCGGCTCCCGGGGACAGACCGCGGCCACGCTCGGGTTTCCTTCCCCGAAAGGTTGCAGAGGCGGGGAGCTGCCTCCTCCGCTGCTGGGCACGGCGAGAGCCCACGGTGGAGAGGGGGAAGCTCGGTCGGCTCTCGGTCTGCCTCCAGATCGGGGGAAAAATCAAGCGGACAATCAGCCCTCTGCGGACACCTTTATTTTTATTTTTTATTTTTTTTTCCTTTCCACGCGAGAAAAAATTAAAAGAAGTTAGTACGTCTCAGATTAGAAAGGAACCCGAGATGCCCAGGGAAAATTCCTAGTGAAAAATGCTGTTTTGGAAAAAAGATAAAAAGATTAAAAAAAAACAATGTCCATACAAATACCTACCTTCTAGATTTCCCCTCGTTGTTTTTCTTTCTCCTTCTTTCTTCCTTCCTTCCTTCCTTCCTTCTTTTCTTTCTTTCTTTCTTTCTTTCTTTCTTTCTTTCTTTCTTTCTTTCTTTCTTTCTTTCTTTCTTTCTTTCTTTCTTTCTTCTTTCTTTCTTTCTTTTTCTTTCTTTCTCTCTCTCTCTCTTTCTCTCTCTCTCTTTCTCCTTCTTTCCTTCTCTTCTTTCTCTCTTCCTTTCTCTTTTTCTCTTTCTTTCTTTTTCTCTCTTTCTTTCTTTTTACCTTTTTCCTTTTTATTTTTCTTTCCTTTCTCTTTTTCTTTCCTTCTCTCTTTTTTCTTTCCTTCCTTCTCTCTTTCTCTGTTCCTTTCTCTTTCCGTTTCTATTTTCTCCTTTCCTCCTTCTCTTCCTTCCTTCCTTCCTTCCTTCCTTCCTTCCTTCCTTCCTTCCTTCCTTCCTTCCTTCCTTCCTTCCTTCCTTCCTTCCTTCCTTCCTCCTTCCTTCCTTCCCTCTCCGTTTCCTTCCCTTTCTCTCTCCGTTTCCCCTGCTCCCTAATCCCCTTTCCCTTTATTCCCTTCCTCCCTTCCCCTCCCTGCCGTCCCCTCCCGGGGACACTCGTGGGGACCGGGCCACCTCCAGCCGCGCCTGGCCGCGCTCCGCCGTCCTCGCAGGGCTGCAGCCCGGCTCTCTGCAGGCAGCAGAGGAGCTGATCCAAGTTCAAAGTCACGTCTCCGGCCCTCCCGAGCCGTGCTTTATCCCCCTGCGAGCCGCAGGACCCCTCTCTCTCCCCAAGGCTCGCCCTGCGCTCTCCACACCATCCCCGGGAGCTCACCACTGCGCTCACCTCAGGTCGGGCTGCACTGCTCCATGCCAGTAAGTTTGGGGCTTTTCTCACCTTTATTATTATTTTTTTCAACAGGTTTCTGGAAGTGCCGGACTTGCAGAGAGCAAACGTCAGCCTTCCTGGGAAAGCATCACCCCCCCTTTCTTATTATTTTTTTTTTCTGATTTTTTTTCTTTAAAACTGCGCCGCTCTCATCGCTGCCGGCTGCTAACACGGAGGGAGCTGGGTGGGGGGTGGTCGTGGATTAAGTGCACTTTCTCCTTTTCCCCGGGCTGCACACACCTCCATCGCCTTCTGCTCTGAGCCCCCACAGGATCCCCAGCAAAGCCAAGAGGGGCCGAGGATGGAGACAGAGAAAGGAACCTGGGGGATCACACCCCAAAAGTAGAGGCCAGGGTTTTCTTCTCCCCACAACCCCAGGACGAGGTGTGGGGAGAGCAGGGGGCGTCCAGGCTGGGATGTGCAGGCCGGCTGAGCGGAGTCTCTCGCACCGTTGTCTGTCCCACAGACACTCATAAATTCAACAAGATCATCAACAGGATATTAAGTTGCAGGTTACCTTTGATTGTGCCGATCCGAGCCACTTCTAGGCCGTTCGACCTATGACCCGTGAAGACCACATGTGTTGTGCTGCAGCCTCCCTCTGTAAAACACACTTCGGGACAAAAGTTCTTTGTCAGGCTCCAGCAGCAGCGTAATGTAAAAGAAAAAGGGGAAATAATGAAAATCTCAGCCAAAGCTGTAACTTTTAAATGCCTTTTTTTTTTTTTTTTTTTTTTTTTTTGGCTGAAAACCCGCTTACAGGAGGAAGCGGGAAGGAGCACCTCTCTTTCGTGCCATTAATATTTATTATTCTCTCAGCCTCTCATCTATATGTATATATATCTATAAGGTGCTCTGCCCCCCAGCACGGCGGGGCTCGGGGGGGGGCACCTCTGCCGGACGCGTGGTGGTGGCAGCGGAGGAGAAGCTTTCCACCAAAGCGCGCCGGACTTTGTAATACAATTTCTGCTGTCATTCATAAATAACAATGCCATATGGTAACCATATTGCTTATACAAGTAAAGCCGTCAAAGTGTCACTATTTGATTTATCTCAACAGCTTCTTCCAGTGGTGACGTTCGGCTACGGGGAGAGGGGAAGGGGGGGGGGGGAGAGAGAGAGCGCAGAGCAAAATTTGGCCTGGCTTTCCTGAGGCCGCCTCTCCCTCTCATTCCCTCCGTACGCCCGTATCTCTCTATATATGGACGGAAGGACGGATTTTTTTTTCTTCTTACGTTGTCCCTATTTGCCCAAATCCATGAAGGGGCCGTGTGGGGACGGACCACGCTTCCCCTGGCACAGCGCAGGCTGAAAATGGCAAGCGTGGAAGTTATGCCCCCAAATCCCCATCCCACGGGCACCGGAGGCTCCCGACCCCACAGCCCCGACGGCCCTATATGTATAGGCAGCCTCATAGGGCCGCCTGCGAGCCCCCGTCCCCCCCGTTTAGGATCAGGGTATAAAATCTCCCCCCCCAGCTCCCTTCCAGAGAGAAGGGGCGCGCAGCCAAGCCCCAACCCGCCCCCCTCTCCGCCTTTGGGGTCTGTGTGCCCTTGCCAGACCGCCCGGGTGGGCACCACCAAACCCCCCCCGTGTCCGACTGTGTTCCCAGGGGATGCCCCCGACGGGCTGGGATGCGGGGGTCCCGTCGTGGGGCTGGGACTCGGGGCGACCCCCACGCCACGGGGCAGCCCCAAGGGCGAGGAAAAACCCCAAAAAGAGCCGGGCCGAGCCCAGGTGCTGGCGAGGAGAGCTCTGCCGGTAACAGCTCCCCAGCAGCAAGCTCTCCGCCTCGCCAAGCCCCGCTCCCCGCTCCCTAAGCATCAATAAGGCGCGCATTAAAGACGATTGTTTGCAAATGGTGTGCGAGCTCCTTAGCATACATTTACATAAGGCAGCCCGCCGCACGGCACTTTAGGGCGGAAAACCTCCGACGCCGGGACCCCCAAAGCAGCAAAAATTTTGGGGGGATCCCGGCACGAGCAACTTTTTGGGGGGCTGATCCTTGCTGCATCCCCTGGGCAGGCCTGGGAATGGGGTCGGGGCGAGGTTGGTGGGTCCAGGGTGGGCGCAGGGGGCAGGGTGGGCGCAGGGTGGGCACGGGGGGGGGCGCCCCCCTCTTGCACCGGGTGTGGGAACCGGGCGCGTTTACACGCGGGGCTCGGCCAAAAAAAAAAAAAACAACAAACCCAAAAAACCACCACAAAACCCTCCCCGCCGGCAGCGGCAGGTCAAGCCGCCTGGTTCTTCAGCTATAAAATATTTTTCTTTGTTTTACGGCCCCTCGTAAAAAGGAATTGATCGGGGGGATAGATTTGAATTAAGACGTATGAAATCGATGACAGATCCACACCACGCTGCGTTTAACAAGGGCCGGACAAGGAGGCGGGCACGCGGGGCGGCGGGGCTGCGGCACCACGGGCTCGCCATCCCCCAAAAAAAGCCTCCCAATCTGGGACAGCAGCCCCCCCCAAGGGCACGGGATGTGGCAGGATGGGGGGGGGGACCGTGTGTGCCGAAAACACCCTTTGGAGATGCCCTACCTGCGGACGGCTGGCTGGAGAGAAGTTATTTTTTTTTTTACTGTGCAGTAAAATCCTTTTAAAAAGCCGGGGGTTATTTATTTAAGCCCCTTTGGGGGCATCAGGTGGCCGGGGGGTGTGTGTGTGTGTGTGTCCCTGTCCCCCAGTTCCCACGGGGACACCTCTCCTCCCCGGGCCGCGCTGCTCTTCTCCCATGATTTGGGCATCTTTGGGGCACCCCCGCACGGCAGCGCCCTATTTTTGTAAGGAAGGGGGGGTATTTTCGGCTCCCCTCCATGAGGACCGGGGGGGGCAGACCCCTCTTTTCCCTGCCTGCCCCCCCTTCCCCCCAGCACCCCAAGGGCTCCCCAAACTTCTCGGGCACACGTGCTGCCGGCCTCACCTCCCCCCTCCGCCTCTCACTCGTTTATTTTGCGAAGGGAAGGAATCCCCCCCCCAACTCCCCGCCCTTCACCCCCCCTCCCCTCCGCCGGCCGCCTTCTTTTTTAGGAAAATTTTGGCTGCCTTCCCCCGGCGGTGCTTTTTAACAGCGAGCCTTGGCCGGGAGCACACTCGGCTGCGTGCGTGCGTGGCGCATCGGGGCGTGCGTTCCCGGGGACGCACCGAAAAAAAGAAATTAAAAAGCGAGGTGGGGGGGGAAAGAGAAGCAGCGGGGGGGCTCCGCCTCGCAGGAGGAGCCCCTCAGCCCCGGGGGAGCCGCAGCTGCAGCCCCCGGCCCCGCGGGTGCCGCCGTCGGGGGGGCTCCGTGCGCGCCCCGTCGGGGCCCCGCGCGAAGTTTTGGCCAAGTGCGGCCCCGGGGGGGGCGCGGGGGGCGGCGGGGGCGGATCCCCGCGGCGCCGGCGGCCTGAAAGGGAGCCAATGGAGCGGCCCCGCTCGCTGCCAATCATCGGGCCCCGGCCAATCCCTCCGGCGCCTTGGCCGAGCGGTGCCCCCCCCGCGGCGCCGCTCAAATGTTGGTGCGCGCTCTGCCAATCGCGGGCGGGCAGAGCGGGCGCGGGGCCGCGCGGAGTTGGGAGCGCAGACAAAAGAAGTTAAAGGGCCGCCGCTTTGAAACGTGCATACATGTTTTTGAAGGCGGGCAGAGGGAAAAAAATCCCGCCGGGCGGCGTAGATGGGCCCGGCTGTGTCGGTATGGAGCCCCCCTTGAGCAAGAGGAGCCCGGCCCTGAGGTTGGCGGATTTGGCAGCGGCTCAGCCCCACCCGCACCAGCACATGACAGGCTTCCCGGGGCTGGGCACCCACCACGGCCACCCCCACCACGCGGCCCACCTCCACCCGGGGGACGCGGGCGGCGACCCCGGCGGCGCCCTCCCTCCGCTGGGCCCCGAGCACATGGCGCAGCCCGCCGCCGCCCTCAAGCTCGCCCCCGAGGCGCTCACCGCCGCCGCCGCCGCCGCCGCCGCCGCCTTCTCCGCGCCCTCCGCCGCCGCCGCCGCCGCCGCCGCCTCCGCCGCCGTCTACGCGCCGCCCGCCGCCGCCCTGCCGGGCTACCCGTCGGGGGGCGCCGCGGCCCGGGACTTCCTCCTGCGCCGGGACCCCCAAAGCTCCGCGCAGGGGGCCGCGGGCGAGCAGCACCCGCCCGCCGGCTCCCCTCACCTCCCACCGCCCCACGGCGTGTTCGTGCCGCCGGCCGCCGGCGCCTACGGCTCCCCCGACGGCGCGCACGCCGCCGCCTCCTTCCCCCCGCCGGCGTCCGGCGAGCGGCAGGGGCCGCTGAACGGGCAGCTGCGCCTGGGGCTGGCGGCCGGCGAGCTGTACGGCCGCGCCGAGGCGCATTACGGGGCCGCCGCCGCCGCCTCGGCGCTGCAGGGCTACGGCCCCGTCGGGCTGGGGCTGGCGGCGGCGGGCCACGGGCAGCCGCCCCCTCCCCACGGCCCCCACGGGCAGCCGCACGTCGGGGCGGCGGCCGGAGCCTTCGTGCGCTACATGCGGCAGCCCATCAAGCAGGAGCTGATCTGCAAGTGGATCGAGAGGGAGGCGCCGGCGGGGGGCAGGAAGCCCTGCTCCAAAACTTTCGGCACCATGCAGGAGCTGGTGAGCCATGTCACCGTGGAGCACGTCGGCGGGCCCGAGCAGAGCAGCCACGTGTGCTACTGGGAGGAGTGTCCCCGCGAAGGCAAGCCCTTCAAAGCGAAATACAAACTCATCAACCACATCCGAGTGCACACGGGAGAGAAGCCCTTCCCCTGCCCCTTCCCCGGCTGCGGGAAGGTCTTCGCCCGCTCCGAAAACCTCAAGATCCACAAGCGGACTCACACAGGTGGGTATTCCCCCGCCCCTCCCGGCCTTCCCTCTCCCCCTCTCTGTTGTTTTTTTTTTTTTTCTTTTTTTTTTTTTTTTTCCCCTTTCCCCCCTCTTTTCCTCCTCTCCTACGTACCGCCGCCCATGTGACTCCCCCATCCATAAGTACCGCCGGCGGCCCGCGGGACGCGCGCACACGGCCACGCACGGCCCCGCGGACGGACAGGCGGACACGCCGACGGACACGCGGCCCCCCCCCCCCTCCCCACCCCCCCCCCCCCCGCCGCCGGCAGCGCTCTCCCCACCCCCTCGGCCCCGCAGCCCGGCCCCGACCCGCCGGGGCCCCGGGGGCAGAGCCAGAAGAAGCGGGGACGAGACGGGCGCACGTCGGGGGGGGCCGCGGGTCTCGCCGCCCCCCCACCCTCCCGGCCCAGGGACACCCATTTGGGGCCGGTGCCACGGCTCGGGAGAGCAGCGAGAGGACGGCGGCCCCGCTTCGCCCCCCTTCTGCCACCGGGGGGGCGCCGGGACCCCGCCGTCGGGGGTGCCCCCCTACCGGAGCCGCTCCCTCCCCGGTCCCGGAGTGGGTGCGCGGCCGCCGGAGGATGCTGCTGCCCTCCACCCGAGGACCCCAAGGGAAAAAGGGGGAAGCAGCCCCGGCTGGAGGCGGGGAGCTACGGGAGGAGGGCAGCGGGGCTCCCGGGCGCAGCCCTGCGCCGGGTTTCGTGGGGCGCTTGAGCCGCGTTCGCCTCTTTTTTATTATTATTTTTCCCCTTTCTTTCATTTTTTTTTTTTTCCCCTATTTTTTTCCCCTTTCATCCTCCTCCCTCCCCGCCGCTCCCGAACTCCGCATTTCGCTCCGGGTGTAAAAAAAAAAAAAAAAAACAAGCAAAAAAAACAAAAACCAAACAAACCAACAAACCAAAACCTCCTCGGAAAACGACCGGAGCCGGGATTGATCGCGGCAGACAAATATTATTCCTCCGAGGACGCTTAAGGAAGTGGAGTTCCCGTAATTGCTTTCTTGATTTATTGCGCGCTGCTCGGCGAGAGAAAAAGCGGCGAGCGCTGCGACGTGGCGGCCCGATGGCAAACCCAATGGCCCGTGGCCGAAAGGATTAGAGGGGTTTATCTCCCCAAATATACCCTCCCGGCTCCCGGCGGTGGTGGCGGTGGCGCTGCGGGACGAGCTGCGAGCCGGAGGCGCTTCCCAGCCTCCTGCTCCTCCGGCCGCGCTCCCGGCACCCAGCCGTGCCCATCTGCCTGCCTTCGGGAAGCCCAAACCGGGCCGCGGAGCCCCCCGGCTGCCCCCTGCCCCTGCCCCGCCGCGGCTCCCGGAGGGAAGGGAGAGGGCGAGGGGGGATTTGGGGAGGTTCGGAGGGGGTGGGGGGTGAGGGATTCGACGGGAAAAGCGACCCCAAAAAAATAACCGCAGTGCGCAGTCGGTACCTAAATGCCTACCGGGGATTGGGGGGGGGGGTCGCTGCTCCGAGCTGCGGCCGAGCGTCGCCAGGAGGCGGAGGGGCAAAAAAAGAAAAAAAAAAAAGGAAAAAAAAAAAAAAAGCTGCCGGCTCAAAAGGGAGGCCCGAGCAGCAACAAAGGGAGGCCCCAGGCCATGCTTCCCCTCCCCGGGGCGAGGGGCCGCGGGCGTGGGGCCGGGGGGCGCCTCCCCCCACCCCACAGACCCCTCGCGGGGGGATTTCGCCCCCTCCACGCAGCTCCCCCGGGCTGTGAGCTCCCCGAGGGCTTTCCCCTCTCCCCCGGCCCCTCGAGGAGCCCACAGCCCCCGGGAGGGCTCCCACGCGTGAACCCACGGGGGGAAGCGGCCCCCACGCAGGGACAAGCGAGCAGCCCCCCAGGGAGCGGGGTGGGGGTGTGCAGGACCCCCCTCCGGGTGTCAGCTCGGCCCGCGGGAGGGGAAAGGGGGAAAGGGATCGCGCCCCTCGCCCCCACGCCCTCCCCACGGCCAGCCCTCGCGTGGACGAGGCGCGGGGGCACGTCCCGCCCGTCCCTACCAGCTGAATTGCTCTAATTTCGCAGCTCCGGCGGCTGGGAGCACGGGAGGTTGGCTGCCAGGCCCTTCCTTTATTCCGGGCATTTTTTCCGGGAGGGGCGAAATAATGACACCGTAATTGCGTGGAAGTCATTAGGGGATTGTGCGCGCCTCCGCTAATCCCCCCCCCCCCCCCCGCCCCCCGGCCCTAATTCGGGTGCCCGCCGCTCGCCCCTTTTCCCCTCTCCCTTGCCGTGCCACTCATTTTGGGGGACAAACCCCAAAAAGCTTCCCGGTGGCTTTCCTGGGCCTGCAGGTCGCCATCCGTACAAGGATCCGGTGCTCAACCTCCCCAAAAACCACCCCCTCCAAATCCCGTCGTGCCCCCGCTGCTTTCTGCCCCGAGCAGCACGACCCCGTGGTTGGGCTGAAACCACCCCAAAACGGGGCCGCTCGGACGGGACCTCCCCATTTGGGACCCTCCTTGCTGCAGATTTTGGGGGGCAGCGCCCACGGGAGGCGCCGCCGTGTCCCTCCGTGGGGGTCCCCGTGGGGAGCCCCCCGGCTGCTTTTTTTCTTAGCATCGCATCCTTTTTATTTTTATTTATTTTTTTTTATTTTATTTTATTAAATAAAAGAAAAATAAAAACGAACTCGCTCTTCCCAGTGCTACCTCCTCGCTGGTGGGGGAGCAGGTTTTAATTGAAAAAGTTGACGTGTAAATAGGCTGCAGAGGCACGTGTTTCTATAGAAACAGCAGGGAAATAGCCAATTTTTTTTTCAAAAAAAATAAGAAATCATTCCTTTTTCCCATCGCTATGTCGGTCAAACCCCATGCGGGGTTACGGAGGGAGGGGAGCCGCAGCCCCCCGTCGCCGGCCCTCGCCCCGGGGGTGTCCCCTTGTCCCCCGGGGGTGTCCCCGCTCACGTCGGGGCGCTTAAGCAGGCGTCGCACGGGCTCCCCGAGCGACAAGGATTAGGCGAGAGCTGTGCCAGCCTGTGGGCAAACAGCAGCCCTGGAAGGCAGAGGCGGCGAGCCGTTTTGTTTGGGGTTGTTCATTAGGGCCCTAATGAACGCTCCTCGTGTGCGCCGAAGGCGGCCGGGTCCTGCCGGGGGTGGGGGGCTTAGGGGGGATTGGGGAGGGATGGGGGGGGGTCGTTTTTGGCCGCTCGCAGCACCAGGAGGGGGGGTTCCTCGGGGAAATCCCAAGCCCCCCGACGTGTCCCGGGTGCCCTGGGAGGGGAAAGAGGAAAAAAAAAAAAAAAACAAAAAAAAAGGGGGGGTGGGGGAGAGGGGCGGGGGGGGTCTCGTCCCGGTGCCGGGGGCCGTAACCACCCGGTGGCTGTTTGCCGGCAGGGGAGAAGCCCTTCAAGTGCGAGTTCGACGGCTGCGACAGGAAGTTCGCCAACAGCAGCGACCGCAAGAAGCACTCCCACGTCCACACCAGCGACAAACCCTACTACTGCAAGATCCGGGGCTGCGACAAGTCCTACACCCACCCCAGCTCCCTGCGCAAGCACATGAAGATCCACTGCAAGTCCCCGCCGCCCTCCCCGCCTCCCCCCGGCTGCTACGCGGCCGCCGGGCCCCCCGACGGGCCGCTGCCCCCCGAGGCCGACCCCGCGGCAGAGCCGCCCCGTGTCCCCTTGTCCCCGCCGGTCACCAACCTCAGCGAGTGGTACGTCTGCCAGGCCGGCGGGGCCCCCCGACGGCCGCGCACCCCCTCCAGCCGCGCCGCCTCCCCGGCCTCCGAAGGGGACGAGCCCCACAGGACCTCGGGGGGCAGAGCCGCCCCATAGGGCCGGGCCGGGCCGGGCCGGGCTGGGGCCGTGCCGAGCCGTGCCGGGCCGTGTAGGGCCGTGCCGGGCCGTGCCGTCGGTGCCCCGGCCCCGTCGCAGCCGCCTTGGCCCCGCGGGCTGGCGTGGAAGCGCCGTCAGGTTTGACCCGCGCTATTTATTCCGTGTACGAAACCCTATGGTGTTTGTACGGTAACTAATTTAATTAAAGACACTCGGACCTTCTTCTTCCTTTTTTTTTTTTTTTTTAATTATTATTTTTATATATTTTTTATTATTATTATTTTATTTTTTTTCGAAATCTCCCGTTCTGCTGCGCACAGGAACGCCGCCACCACGCCGAGCCACAGCCCCGGCCCCTGCGGAGCTGCCCCCGGCCGTGCCATAAAGGGGGGACCGGGGCCGGGCGGGGGTCTCCCAGGCTGGGAGCACCCCCAGCCCCTCCTGGCAGCCCCCAGAGCCCCTCGCAGCCTCCTGAAGCCGGCACCTGCTGGGGCTGCCGCCGGCCGAGGGCAGGGTGCGCTCCCCGTGAAACGACCCGAAATGAACTAAAGGGGGGGTTTTACCCCCCCCGTCCCCGCAGCTCAGCCCCGGTGCGATCGTGGCCGAGGCCCCGATCCTTTCGGCCTCGGCTGCGACCATGTGCGAGGGATTTGGGGACGGGGAGACAAAAGGGTGCAGCGCTCCCTCCCCGCTCCTCCGCGGTCTGTGCGCCCACGGCTCCCCAGCCACGGGCGGAGAATAAAAGAAAACCCGCTGCTACTTGACAACTGTGATACTGTGATGCATTATTATTATTTTTTTTTATATATAATGAAAATAATAATAATTGGTAATAATAATAATAACGCGAAAGCTGACGGCGATTTCCCGTTGTCTCGGTGCCGGTGCTTATTTCCCCTGCTGCAAAACGCAAGGTGCCAGCTCCCCTCGCAGAGGAGGACTGGGGGGGGGGGGGGAAGGGTCCGGGGGCGTTTTTGTCATTTTTATTTCCCGTGTTTCAGAGTTTTGTTCCCCTCCCGGCCCAGCCCCTGCCTGCACCCTGCCTTCCCCCGGGGCTGGCGGCCGGGTCACCTGGGAGGGGGCACCCGAGAGAGCAGGGGGGGGGGTGGGATGGGGTCGGGGCTCCAGCCCCCCCCAGGGACCCCCCAGGGGCTTGGGGGGCGCAAATAACCCAAAGGGCGCTGGCTCTGCCCCCGGGGCTGCGGGCCGGGAAGTGGCAGCCTCTCCCCTCCCCCAGGGGCTGTGGAAATTTGTTTTGTGTGCCGTGAATGGTTGATGTGGTCTTGTCATTGTTAATAACGTGTACGCGAACGCGATTATTTTGTACAGTTGAATTAATTTATTTTCTGACATCATCCTCCTCTTTTTTTTTTTTTTTTTTTTTTTTTTTCCCTTTCCTCCTCCCGGAAGAGTACAGAGCACACCAAAGAAAATTCTATTATTAATTAATTTTGGTGATGGGTTGTTGTTTATGATGCTGTGGTTTGTACATAAAAAAAAAAAAAAAAAAATCATTATATTTTTCAGCTTACTTGAACGAACGATGTCATGTGAAACAGACTCTTCCTGCATGTCCTCTGTGCGGTGTGTTGGTGATGCTACATATAAATAGTTCATAGAGCTATTATATTATTAGTACAGTGCATGGTGCTGTCACTCTGGAAGCCTTGAAACGTTGTCCTCGTATTGTTGTGTCGGATATAAAGAAGCAGACATTGCTTTAAAAAAAAAAAAAAAAAAAAACAGAACCGAGAAAACTTGAATAGACAGTAATTTTTTAAAGTTCGTTTGATTTGCTTCTTATTCGTTTTTTTTTTTTTTTTTTTCCGAAGCCCATTTGAATAAATAGGAAATAATAAAGGAAGGTGCGGACCTTTTAAAGAATAATTTATGTAATGTAATCTTATTAGAGATATTTTCGTGCTGATTTGTAAACGAACTTTTTAATTTATGCATTTTTTTTTTTCAACAACAGATTGCACTATACATGGCTACATGGCAGGGTTTATAAAATACGGCTCTGGGGGCTGTAGCACTATTTTGATGTACTCGCTCCACGTAGGGTCACACACTTGCCCATCCGTTTTCTGACACATGATACCTCCTGAATAAAACCGTAAGCAATTAAAATAATAATAATAATAATAAATAAATAAAAATCCTCCCCCTCTGTGTAAACCCGACAAAAAAAAAGCAAACAAAATATTAAAAAAAAGGAAAAAAGAAAAAAAAAGGAAAAAGGAAAAAAAAAAAGGAAAAAGGAAAAAAAAAAAGGAAAAATGAAAAAAAAAAAAGGCAGGCGATGGTCCAAATGAATAAAAACCTTATTTCTCTGTCTCGCACGTGCCTTACTGACAGGCGAGGGCCGGGATAGCGGCGAGGGCTCGCACGGCGGGGCCGAGGCGGGGGCGCAGCAGCGCGGAGGAGGCAGCGGGGCCGGGGCCGGGACCCGCGGAGCTTTTCCCGGCACAGCTCCCGAGATCCGCCCGGGTTTCCCCTTCTGGGCTCCCGGCCGTGCCCACGCGTGGGGCTTTTCCCCCGGGGGCTCGTGGACCGACGTCCCCAAGGAGGTCGTGGGGGGTGCGTGGGGAGGTGGGTGACACGCAGGGGAAAGTCGGGCATTTGTGTTTTTCTTCTCTCTCAAGGACAGCTAAGCGAAGCATCAGCACCGCCAAATCCAGTCAATCGCGGTGTTAATATTGCTGCCGGAAAAAAAAATATCGAATGAAATCTCCCTGGCATTCAGGCTCCTCTGACTGACACCAGCGAGTTGAGTATCTCTGGTTTCTGGGAGAAGGGACGGTGGAGAAACCGCATGGCAGGAGATGGGTCCGAAACACGTTTCACGCCAGGCTAGAAATCATGTCAGGAGATCGCCTGAATGAGAAAAGTTTTCAGGAGCTGCGAGAGAATACGCATTGCCCTGGCAGGGACTTGGGAAGGGAAAAGCTGAGCGAAACCTGCTGCTGGAAAAACAGTGGGCAGAGCTCTGCCAACGTCCGCCAGGATTTTTTCCTTTCTTTCCCCTCATTTTCCTCTTTTCTTTTTCATTTTCTTCTTTCTTTCTTTCTTTCTTTCTTTCTTTCTTTCTTTCTTTCTTTCTTTCTTTCTTTCTTTCTTTCTTTCTTTCTTTCTTTCTTTCTTTCTTTCTTTCTTTCTTTCTTTCTTTCTTTCTTTCTTTCTTTCTTTCTTTCTTTCTTTCTTTCTTTCTTCCTCTCTCTCTCTCTCTCTCTCACTTTCCCTTTTTCTCACTCTTTCTTTCTTTTCTTTTCTTCCTTCATGAAATAAGATAAATAAAACTAGCCCAAGTCTATTTTTTCTTCTTTTTTTTTTTTTTTTTTTTTTTTTTCCCACGTAATTTACAGATGCTCGAAGATGACTGGTCAAAATGTCAAGAACAGTTTCACCAAAAGGTTATAGTGTTTTTTAAGTCAGTTTTGTTAAATGTGGTAAAGGTGAAACAGGTTGCAAAGAGTTGTTTCAAGCAGAATGACAATAACCAACATACGAAGCAGAAAAACACTCATAAATGAGGGCTCTAATCAATGGGAAAACTTATAGCTCTCTAATGAAGTTTCTTGTGAAAAGGAGGGCGACACAAAGCCACCGAGACATGAATCATTCATGGGAAATATAAAAGATAAAAGATATCTGACAATGAGCAGAACCTTGTATAGAGTGTATAAAACAAGTTTCCCCTTCTTATTTTCTGCTTTAAACCGCACAATCTCCCGCTCCTAGTGTTCTCTGTCCGGCCTATAGAGTTAAAATTGACCAGTGCACGTCCTGCGCCACTTCAAAGTAATTTAGCCCAGAACGGAAGGCTTGGCGCTTGGACAATCTTCATGGTGTGTTAAGATTTCTATGGCAATTGGCAAGCAAGACGTTCCCATCTGAATATGGCTCAAAGAAAGCCACTTATTGACACTGAGTTGGCCATCATCAAAGACTTCATCTTTTCTAGGCAAAACGTGTTCCTAACAAACACTGTTTAAATCATCTACCTTTGTATTCAGGGGCTGGGAGACAGCTCGCCACACACTGCTGCCGGCGCCCGGCCCTCCAAAGGGCAGAGCCGCGAAGTTTGAAGGGGCTCCGAAATTTCGGGAGTGTGGGAAATGACTGAGGGGGGGGCCGGGGGCCGGGGAGGGGGCGCGGTGGGCTGAGCCCCCCAGTACGCACGGATGCGCGGGGGGACACGCGTGTGCGCGCATAGACACGCGTGCACACGCACTTACACACACGGCCACGCGTGTACAAGCGTGGACACGCACACATCCACGCATATACCCCCCCTCACACCCCCAGATAGCCCCCCCCTCCCCGGTCCGGGGCACCCAAAGGCGGCCCCGCAGCCGCCGGCACACCCGCACCCACGCTCCCGCATTCACCCCCACAGCACGCAAGTGCCTAATCAGGCAGGGAGAAGTTCAAAGGCAGGTTCTTTGAAATTCAAACTACTGCTTTTATGGTACATCAACATGGAGCGTTAGGATTGCTATGGCAATGAGCGCAGCAAAAGCAAGCCGCATTTAAAATAGTCCACCTCGATTCGAGACACTCTATTAAGATACAGTTGCGGTGACCTTTAGTTTCATGCCGTGTTAGCGCAGTCAATTTTCACTTCATCAGAACGCCTCATATTTTTGGCCTCTCTCCCAGCCCCCCCCTTCCCCATTCAGAGCCCCCCCCCCCAATTTCTTTTTTAGGACCCGTGGCGGCATCGCCCCCTCCAAGCGCAGCAGGTAAACAAACAAGCAGATCCGCGGGGAAGAAGCTCCCTCTCCGGCTCTCCTCCTCCTCGGCCCCCCTCTCCTTTTCCCACCTAAGCACTTTTATTTGCAGAGCGATTGTTCTTTGTTTATTTAATACAAGTGCTGTGTGAATGGTGAAAAATAAACACGATGAAAAATAACCAAACAGATGATTCCGCCAAGTGAAAAAGCCCGGACTTAATAAAAGTGCGAGGCAGTCACCGTTGAATGAGAAACCCTTTGAAGTGGAACTTATTATAGGAAGAATACTTTTTGGTTTCCCTAACGACGCCGCTGAATTGAAAGGGCTCTCCTTTGTCACCGATTTGTTCTCCTTTGCCGGGATGCCCGCAGAAATTACTTCCATGGGCTGCCTTAACATGCAGCCTGCAAAGCGGGAACTTCCCCGGCGCAGACTCGCAGACGCCGCTCCCCTCGGGACAAAAAACCCGCAGCGCACCCCAGCCTCTCGCCCGAGCCCCCTCTTTTGGGGGCCCCTCGCCCCGTGCCCCCGCTTTGGGCCGTGCCCCTCTCACCCCCCCCCTCGGTCCCCGACCCCCCCTCTCCGGGGGTTTTCCCAGGCAGAGCCGTGTTTAATGCGGGTCGTTTATTACGGAGGCGCTTTGAAGGGTCGCCCCCGAAGCCCCCGCGCCCGTGAAAAACGTGGAGGTGACATTTGCACCCCGGTGTAAGAGGGGCTCGGGGGTAGCCGGCTGAAAGGCGACTCGTTTGTCTCGGGGGCTTGGAAACAGCCTCCCTCCTTCTCCTTTTGACCACATGGCATAACTCAAAAACAATAGTTCAAAAGTAAAATGGCATCGTGGTGTTCAGCCGCAGACAGGCACCCATCTAGCAGGAGAGAAAAGGGATAGTCCGCAGCACAATGTGCTTTTTGTGTCGGACTCTGTCACAAGGATTTCGTTGTTTGCTTTAGAGGCTGCGCCTGTTATACTTTCTTGAAAGTGCTTGTGTTAAACAAGAGTTATAAGTCATCCAAAACAACAAACATT